CTGAATAATTCTTGCATCATTTTGGAGTAGGCTTTTAAGAACATTCAGAAAAGAAGACCATTATATATCATAAGGACATGATTGCTACCCATTTTGCCTCCTTGGTTTTTTTTTTCAGTTGTGCAGAGGACATAAAATCTGTTCCTTGGTACCTCTTCCACTGTCCTATTCCTCAGTCATTCAAACAAAAATAAACTTTTGTGTTTTGGAGAATGTGGCTTCCCATATTGTACAAAATAGGACTCCAGACACATTAATATCACTGATTTTGGAGTTATCACAGTATTCATTGCCACTATTTATGAGAATAAGTAGTTCCTCATATCTATGGATGAGGAATATTTTTTCAGGGTGTAGGTTTGACTTACTATAACCAGGAAAAAAGGATTTGAAAATGAAAAATAAAGCAGAGCAATGCACTAAATCTAGACTATAGACATGATCTTGCGTCAGTCTTGCTCATGATCTTTACCTGGTGGCTTCAACTCCAGTTTGATTTCTGCAAAAGAATATTAGATTTCTTTTAGGACTATTTATTTTTCCAGAATCATGTTTCAAATTCACAAATTTGCAGATGGCTATGATCACAAATTTGTTTAGCAAATTTGCTAACCTTTGGTTACCAGGTAGAGCTCTGCAGTGCTTCTTGCTTCTCCTCTTGGTTCAAGGCGAGCAATTACAGAATATACACCTGCAATAGCCAAGAATGTTGATATTTATATGCCTTTATCATTACAAAAAAGGGACAACAAAATCAGATAAAAGAATGGCATCAGCACAAATATTCCATGCGTTTTTACCTTCATCTTCTGCAGTAACATTGTGAATAGTCATATAATGACAGCGCCCTTCACTTCTGAAGCTGTACTTGGGACTCTCTCTCAGTTCAGTCGGGCCTTTATACCATGTCACAATTGCATCGTCAAAAGACACCTCACACTCAAATGTTGCGGACTGGTGTTCACTCACTACAATGTTCTGTATGCTCTTTGTGAACTGAATTGGTTCCGCTGTTTTTAGAAACAAAAAATATATTGACTGTTATACACCACCAGGCCATTTAGTTTATCTAATTACTTCTCATTGTTTTCATAATAATAGCTACATTATAATAAGAGATAATAACAACAGATCTTGAAAAAGTAGAGTAAGAAAAAGAGATTCCATCTTCTATGAAGTTTTCTATGCAAGAAAGAAGATTAGAAGACGTAAGAGTACAACTACAACAAGACTGTTGTGCAGATAAATTATACAAGAGAAGCCATTAAGGAAGTTAAAGATAAAGAATAATTAAGAAAAAGAGGAAATCCAAGGAAAATATAAAAGTATCAGAGAAAAAGAAAATAAAAGCAAGTATGACTCAGATTGTTTGAGGGCCAGGGGACATTAGTAATGATGATTTAGTTAAAAATACTAACTTACAAAAGCATATCACATATTGTTCAAAGGATAGCAAAATTTCTTATTTAGTCCGTTTCCAAGTTTGGGAATATCTCTTTAAGAAATTCCTTTTATTTTCATTTGTTCTTTTAATGGAACATCCAGAAACCATTTATCACTACTGTAATAAAGAGATTCTATATCAACAAACCTTCAATCGCCAGATCTGCAGTTGTTTCTAGATTGTCAAGCTTGCAGGTATACTGTCCCTGGTCTTCTGTTCTAACATCCTTGATGATGAGTTTGTGTACTTTGTCAGAGACTTGTGTTGAATATCTCCCTCCTATCTTAATGGGTCTCCCATTTCTATACCACTGAGATTTGGCATTTGGGATAGAGAACTGACAAGACAGCGTGCATGTGTTTCCTTCCTTGAAAGTAGTGTCATGAAGATGCCGTTCAACTGCAGGTTCTATTAGCATGTTAAAACATACATTTTAGCAGATATCAGACAATGGAATAATTAAAGTGTAAATTAATTCAAATACATACTTCAAAAGTACACTTACCGATCACAGTTAGCCTGGCACTGGCAATGTGTGGTCCACACACTATTCTGAAATTTCCCTGATCTTCAAGTTGGCAGTTCCTGATTCTCAGTATGTGGCGATCACCTTCAATTCTAATTTCATATTTGTCATTGGAGTCCAGTTTCTGGGTTCCCTTGTACCATGAAAGTTTAATTTCCGGATAGTTAATTTTAATCTCACATTCAAAGACAGCATCCTCATCTGTTAAAACTGTCTGATTTTCAATGTCTCTGATCAGAGTAATAGGCTGAAAAATATTAGTTTAAATTAGTTTCAAGTTGCCTGTTATGGGTTTGATTATTTCACAAATCAGTCAAAAAATTTTACCTCTGTCTGTGAGAGTCGTTGCTGAATAAAAGCTACAAGTTCATCAAACTCCTGATCTTCTCTTCGAGCTTTTTCTGTGAGCTCAATTTCCTGTAAAAAGGCAGAATATACTCAAAGATTAAAGGATACTAAATGTCAAGCTGCAGTGTTTATCCAGCATAGAATTAGTTCCTACATCAAATTTTCTGTAACTGCACTGTAACTAGTGTATCTTCCCATCTTAAAGATTGCAGCCAAGTTGTGAAGATGGAACATACGTGGCCAGAAGGCCCATTTCTTCTTCTTGGATTTGAGCATGCAAGAAATTGAGAACTGTCAGTAAAAGATCTAAAGAGGAACCAGAAATTCCTGAACACACAGTAACAGCAGAGTGTGGACACCAACTCTGTTCAAAGGAACTGTATTACTCCTAACAAAGCCAATGCTGCAGTCACACTGTATCTTACCAATCTATGGCTTTCTTCTGCTTGGGTTTGCTTCAGTAGCTCAAAGGCTTGCAGGAGGCCACGGAAATCTGTAATTCCATACATACGAGCATATTTCTCATATTCCTTGGGGTCTACATTTTTGAGAAGTTCCAAGATATCAATAGGTTCCTCTTCCTCTTCTTCCTTCCTTTTTGTTGGAGTGCTATTCAGATCAATGACATAAGTTAAATATACAATGCTTCATTGCTAGAAAGTTTTTCACTGAAAAAATGAATCAGCTTAGAGCTGCCTGGTGCAGTGGAATCCTTTAGTTTAGTCTAGTCAGCTGCTTCTATTTTTAGTACAGTTATTCATATTTAAAGATTATTAAAAAATTGTATCTTGATCTGAGATGTATAATAAAAAGTTTCTTCTGTGTTCATGGTAAATTAATCTATAAAAACGTTCCATATACCTTTTTAGTTTTGCCCTGAGATCCCCTTCAACAACTTCTTTCTTTCTTTCTTCAACTTGTAGGTTTACACTCCTCTCAATTTCACCATGTTGGTTAAAAGCTACACATTTATACATGCCAGAATCAGTTTTTATTGCATCCTTTATTTCTAGTTTGGCTTCATCTCCTCTCTGCTGGATTATAATGCGACCTCCCTGGTTGAGTTGCCTCCATTTTCCCTTCATCCATTTAACATTTGGAATTGGGTCTCCTCCAACTTTTGCAATAAATCTTGCAACAGTCTCTGCAGAAAGATGCAAATGAGGAAGATAAGTCTTTCCAGATGTCTATGACAGCAGGACATATCTCAAAGAAAAGGTATAGGCAAATAGAAGACAATGTACTTTTTCAAAAAAGTTCTTACTTTCCATAACTTTGATACTCTGAGGCTCTGTCACAAAATAAAGTTTTCCTTCCAATTCTGCTTTCTTAGCTGCTGGTGCAGCTGCTGGTTTTTCTAAAAGACAGTCAAACAATTAAAACAGGTGGTTTCATGTAAAACTTTATGTTCATGCGTGATGATACTTCCAAAGGAATGGTAAAAAATGAATTAATTACAGAGATGGAACAAAATATTATGCAAGAGATAAAAATGCAAAATACTTTCATATTGTATTAATTAACTTGTATTTTACTTTCCAGATGAAACTGAACAGTCTGGGCCATGTTTTGATGTTCATTAACTTCAGTCAGGTCATTTATATTCTGCATGGATGCAAATTCATAGATAGATATGCAAATAAGAAGCCTCATTTTCTAAAATGGATCAGTTTTTAGTGACGTATTCTGTTTCTGTCTATTTCTGGAAATTTCACCATCAGAGTTACTTGCATTTTTTTATCAGTGATCTGTTAATTTTTTTTTTTTTTCTTTTGTGTAGTTCTCAGCCTTGCGGCTACCCATGTACTGAAAAAGATACTATTTCTACATATTACTGAACCCTTATGTCTTTTATGAAATGGTAAGACAAGACCTACATGGAAGGATTCATGCTTAGACAATATTTACTTTCAGCTAAAAGCTCAAAATGTCAGAGTTGTAACAGTCCTGAAGGGATTAGCTTCTAAGGCCACACACTCAATCAAATTCCTTTTGTATTTTCTTTTAGTAAACACCACTGTTCCCATCCTTTCTATAAAATAAGCATGTCCAAGTAATTTCACTCATTTAGCTTGCATTCTTCTTAAATTCGGTGTTTGGATTTAGAAACTAAATTCTTAATCTTGTTGGATATACTATTGATTTGACAGTGATCTCCCACTGTTTATTTCACTATTTATATATAAATTATTGTTAAATATATTGTCTTCCTGTATTGTACAGTTTTGAAAAGAACTAAAAGATACTAGTTTTTTGCTATTAGATTATTAACACTTTTGTTCCACAGAAAACAAAGCAGGATGGAATTTTGTTTTAAATTTCCATCATATGCCTTGATTTTCTTCATGTTACTGTACCTTTAACTGTTACTTTAGATTTGCAAGTATCACTGCCAGCTGCATTTGAAGCTTTGCATACATATTCTCCTGAATCAGATTTGGTAACTGCAGCAAGTTCCAGAAGAGCTACTCCATTAGCAAAGCTGAAGTTGCATCTGTCTGAAGCTCTTATTTCTCTCCCTGCCTTCAGCCACTGAATCCGGATTGGCTGCGATCCTTGGACGTGGCAGCTGAGCTGTAGGGTGTCACCTTCCTCTGCTGCTGCTGGCTGAAGAGGCTGGTCAAAAACTGGAGGCTTTTTTGGTTCTGGAATACGAAAATGCTTGAGTGAATACTCAAGGAAGGAAAGTATGATTAAGAATGTAAGAGAAAGACAGACACATGATTCTTAAGAAGACAGTGGCAAGGAATGAAGGAGGATCAACAGAAGTCTGAGAATGTCAATCATAGTTTTAGAAAACGGAATAAATATCAAGAGAGTATGTTTTCTATGCAAACATGCAAGAAATATCTTTTCTGCATGCAGCAAGGACATTCACACACAAAAAGCAGTATAAGAACTAAAGCACTGCTATTAGGCTGCAAAACTATGTAAGCATCTTTAAAGAAATAAATAAATTCTTTAAAGAAATAAATGTGCAATCTCCTGCAAGAGTATTATGATGAAGTGCTACTACAACACAGTCAAGGCTGCCCCAGCTTAGATGTAATTGCACAGAAACACTGTTATTCCATGAAACGAGAATGATTAAAAATTCAACAGAAATATCACATAAAGATTTCAATGTTCACTTTAGATCAGTTGTAGCAAATAGTGAAAAAGAAGCCCCTCCCAGAAAAATATTGTTTTATTTTAATCACAAAATTAAAATAATTCCTTGATTTTGTGGTTTAACTCAGTTTTATCTTGTCCATCTCAGGACAAAGTAGTGCTGTTAAGGTAGGTAAAAGCAGCTCATAAGATATAAGCTGTACATTTGCAGCTAACATAAAACAAAGAAAATTAAGAAGCAAAGAAAAGTAAGACTTCAGCTAACCTCTGACAACAACAGAAGATGTACACAACACGCTTCCTGCTTCATTGGATACTTTACAGGTATATAAACCAGCATCTGATTGCTCTATGCTCTTTATATGCAAAAGTAAGGTATTGTTTTTGAAAGATATTTCACAATGAGGGCTTGAATGAACTTCCTGATTGTTTTTATACCAAGCAACAGTCAAAGGCTGAGATCCAGAAACACGGCCCTCAAGTTTAAGTTCATTCCCTTCTGTTTCTTCTACTGCTTCAGACAGTTTCTTAGTAAAAGTAGGTGGAGTTTTTGGTTCTGTTAAAAAAAAGAACATATTATTCAAATTTGATGAATCAAACCTGAAATGAAAAATGCTAAAGAAAATGTTTCAAGAAAAATTTGGACATTACGGAATTGATATTTGCTGTCATATAAATAGGATTTTTTTTTTTTTTAAGTGAAAGTATGCCAAGATAAACAGCAGGTGTCTTGCTCTTACAGTCACTGTCATAGTTGATTTTCCTATTTGAAAAAAAATCCTCTTATGTTGATTTTAGTCAAATGCCATTTAAAAAACCCCAAGATTTTTGTCAAGTTCTCAAGAAAGAAATAGGCCAAAGCCTATAAAGAAACTAGGCCAAAGAAAATATTCTTTCATTTCTCCTCCCATTGTTCTTAGTGACCTTTCCTAACTCCCCTGAGACAACCATGGGTATCTCCAGATAGATGCTTTCAAGCTGTATCTCAAAAGTTTTTCTCAAACTTATCTTGCAGCAATAAGGCTAACCTCCTTTATAATTAAAGGAAGAAAAATGTACACACAATATATTATCTGTTCAGTACCTTTAACAGTCAGTTGAGCTGTGCAAGAGTCCTTTCCAACTTCATTGCTAGCATAGCATGTATACTTTCCAGAGTCTCCCCTGTCAACTCTCAAGATGGTCAAGTGGGCTGTGTTGTCAACATAACTGATCTGGTAGTTCCTTCCTGTTCTAATCTCTTGGTTGTCTTTTGCCCAAGCGACTCTAATAGGCTGTGTTCCACAAATGTGGCACTCAAAGTCAGCACTTTCTCCAATAATACCATCCACAGGTGCAATTGGGATGTCAAAGAATGGAGCAGTCTTCCCTTCTGAAGAGTGAAATAAATAAAAAAGCATCACTTTAAAATCTCAATTTGCTTTAAACCTCTGTGAAATAAATATTATTTGTACAACATTAAATCCATATATAAAGCAAAAGTGACTTTTAAGATATTTCCATTAAATATTTCACAGCCTACCAACCTGTAAGGACAAGTCTGCCACTACAAGAAGCAGTCCCAATTGCATTGGTAGCCGTGCAGGTATATTGTCCAATAAGGCTCCTATCTGTCTTCAAAATCCGGAGAGTTGCTACATTATCGACGAAGGATGTGTGAACATTGTAGTCCTCTTTTACATGTACACCATCTTTAAACCAAGATACTTCAATAGGTTCTGAACCAGCAATGCCACAATCAAATGTAACTGGTAAGCCAACAGTTTCATGAACATCTCTTAATTTTCGTGTAAAAGAAGGAGGAAGTTTACACTCTGTAAGAAAACGGGTATCATACAATGAGAGCTTTCAGAAGATATGCACCTATTGCTGTACTCATCAATAATCACTGCCTAATATACTGTAGAGTGTGCTGGATTTTTGCTCATAACTTCTGATTAAAAATGTTATTCAGCATATCATTTATTTGGAACCTGACGTGAAAAAAGCACTGTGCATACAGTTGCAGGAAAATATATAACCATTCTGCCCTCAGTTACACCCAGTGAGCCTATTTAACCCTCAAGACTGCTAATGGTGGAAACAATCAAAGCAATATCCTCAATGGGGAAAGAAGATGCAGAAGTTCGTATCCCTACAGAAGAGCTGTGGTCAGTAAGAGATGTATTTCGATTAGCTTTACTGGTAAGCCTTTGTTAATAGAAGATAGCGCCACAGGGTATCTTACATGTCAAGAAACAGTAAAGTTTTTAACAAGGAGAAGGTAATCTTTGTTTTTCAAAATAGCAAAGCATACTTAAGAAAACCAGGCCATTTTCCTATTTTTAAAAATGAAATATTCACCTTGAACTGTCAGCAAAGATGATGAAGCAGCCTCCCCAACAGTGTTTTCTACTTTGCAGATGTACTCCCCACTGTCACTACTGTCTACCTGGCTGAAAACCAGAGTGGCAACTTGGTTCTTAAAGTGCATTTTCACAGTAGCAGTTCCTCTCAGCTTTGTATCGCCCTTGTACCATGACACAATCATTTCTGGTGTTCCAGCAACCTCGCACTGTAAGGATGCAGAATCCCCAACAGTCACCTTCACTGGCTCCAAGGGTGTAATGAAGTAAGGTGGTTCTGAAGAATAAACACATGCCATTAGCATAAAAAGGTATTGCACAATGACCATTAGTTGTTCAGATAACACTTGATGAAGTGATGGTGGCTTGACGCACCTAGTATTGTGATTGCACCATGACAATTATCTTGTCCAGAATCATTTTCAATATGACAAGAATATTGCCCCTGATCTTCTAGTTTGCTATTAGGGATTTCCAGTATGGCAGATTTTTCTGTAGTGGTGATGCTATACTTTTCAGAGTGTGTTATTTTTACTCCATTTTTCTTCCATGTCACTGAAATTGGTAGAGTACCCGTATATGTGCATTCCAAGATTAAACTTTTCCCTTTCTCTACACTTAAATCATTCATCTTCTTCACAAATTTGGCTGGTTCTATAATGAACAATGGGAAGAAAACAAATTAAATAAAGCCAAGAGATCATTTTTAGAAGCATAAGAAGCATATGAAACAGTAGTTTGGACAAACCTTTGACAAAAAGATGTGTTGTGCAAGAAATCTTCCCTGCCTCATTAGAGACCTGGCAGGTGTAGTCTCCACTCTGAAGTGGATCTACATCAAACAGCTCCAGTTCTGCAATTGAATCTTGCAAGGTGATATTGCATCTGTGTCCTGGTACTAGCTCAACACTACCTCTAAACCATTTAACTTCCAATGGAGAGGAGCCTTTTATGATACTGGTAAAGGTTATGTTTGCCCCAGATAAAACATTCAGTGGTTCAGGCTTCTTCACAAAAGATGGTGGTTCTAAGCATGCAAATAAAACAGACAGAGAAGAAGCACATTTGAATTTCGCATGAAGAGCATAGTAATCAGAAATACGTAACAAAGCAAAGAATGAAGTCTTTTTGAAAATAAATTTGTGCCCTCTGACTCTGGTTTCTTATTGATACTGACCTCTAACATTCAAAAATGCGCTGCACTCATCAGACCCAGCTACATTAGTAGCTGTGCACAAATAAGTTCCCATATCAGATTCCTGAAGTCCATTCACTTTCAGAGAACAGGTATTGTCTGTAAGAGTAGCCTGATACTTGTCTCCACTGGTAATCTCCTGCCCATCATGAAACCAGGAAACCAGAATAGGTGGTGACCCATAAACTTTGCACTCCAGTACAGCAGAAGAACCCAGCTGACCATATGTTTCTTTCAGTTTTCTTGTGAAAGAAGGAGGTATAATACGATCTGCATTTGTTTAAAAAAAAAAAAAAAATTACCATACAGGAGCTTAAAATGCAAAAAGTTCCCCATGCATAATAAAATCAGTTAGCTTTCTTTTGACATATATGCTTTTGCAATCTGCTCCTACACACCTAAGTCATTGAAAAATAGATAGTTGATGGTTAAGGATAAGCTGGAACTTTCATTCACACTTTTTGAGGGACACCTTTTATCTTTGCAGTTCTTTTTGATAAGCAGCAACATTGCACCAGCTGCCCAAGAAGACATGTAGGTTAAAGCTGAAGAAATCAAGCCCTTGCAACAACTCCTGCACCTCAGAGGTTAGGCAGGCATCTATTCTTGATGCCTGTCAAAGTGGCATGCCAAGTACTCCTAAGAATATACAAGCAATGAGTCTCTCAGGCTGCCAGTCATGAGAAACAGTTTGCTATCTGAAGGCTTTGTAAAGGAACTACAGGATCAGATGTGACTAAGAAAGAGTAGTCAACTAACCTGAAACATGCACTGAAGCTGTGCAACTGCTTTTACCAACACTGTTTTTCACCTCAAAAGTATATTCTCCACTGTCTTCTAGTCCTGCATTGAGGATCTTGAGCCCAGATACTTTGTTGAAGAAACTGATTTTATGTTTATGGTCAGTGGACAGTTCATTTCCATCCTTAAACCACCTAGCAGTAAGCTCTGGTGTGCCGTCTACTGTGCATTCCAGAGTACAAGAGTCTCCAGCTGTAACTTTGACTGGGCCTGGCTTCTCTACAATGACTGCAGGTTCTGCAATGAGATGCAAGTCGCAACAGTTTTAAAAACAATGATGCAATAGTTATTATTATAATAAAAAATGAAATTTTAAAGCATCTTAAAATACAGTGAGTTTTTTATCCCATGCTACCAACCTAGCACTGTCAGTGTGGCAAAACATTCTTGAACTCCAGCATCATTTTTTATCTGACAGATGTATTTCCCAGCATTGGCTGGTTCTGCATTTCCAATCCGCATAGTTGCAATGTTTTCTGAATAGGACATCCAAAGATTTTCACTTTCTCTAATGATTTCCCCTTTGTCTTTTAACCACAGAACAGAAATGGGCTGTGATCCTTCTACTGCAGCCTGCAGTTCAATTGACTCCCCAACTACGACAGTGAGATCACTCAGCTTCTTCACAAAGGTTGGTGGTGCTATTTAAAAGAAGATATTTAACAGTAAAAAAACACACCAGGAGCGGAAAAGTAGGAGGAGAATGACAGGAACAATGAAAGGCCAAGAAGGTGCCAATCTTTATACAAACCTCTTAGTGTTACAGAGCCACTACAGGAGTCACTTCCCACATCATTTACAGCTTTACAATGATATTCACCAACATCTGCAGTATCCACACTGAGAATGTGAATACTAGCCAGGTAGTTCTCGGACATGACCTTATATTTCTTGCTGCTCCGAATTTCTCGTTTGTCTTTATACCATGAAATCTGGAATGGAGGAGTGCCCTGGAGCTCACATTCCAGGTGAATATCAGACCCTTTCAAGGTCTGGACTGGATGGGGCTTCTTGGTAAAAATGGGGGGTGCTGTAAAAAAAAAAAAACAGGGTTAAAGTTTGTGTTATTTGAGCAAAGGAGATTAAAGAGGACAGGCTAGTCAGCAGCCATTCTGATGCTGAACAACAAAGACAAACCATAAATAAGAAAGATCTCCCACAGCATAACAAACAGGCAAGAGATTTGCCATCTGTTCAGCCAGGTTTTGGCCTACTCTGGCTAAAGAAAGTGGGATTTAACAGCTTTTTCACAAAGCTCATACAGATAGAAAGGTAAGGAAAGAACTGGGATTCTGACCTTTTACTTTCAGTGAGGTACTGGTGCTTGCACTACCCGCTGGATTCTGAGCTTCACAAGTGTAGTCACCGCTGTCTTCAACACTGAGGTTGTGCATTTCAATGACTGCCACTGAATCCACAAAGGACATTCTGTATTTTTCACTGGGATGGATCTTGGTTTCACCTTTGTACCAGGCAACTTTGATTTCTGGGGATCCACCTATTTTGCATTCATACTTTGTGGAATCATGCTGTTTCACAAGTCTGGAGGAGTCTAGTTTCTTAATAAACCTTGGTGGTTCTGAAAAGCCAAAAAGGGGAGGTGATGCTTTAAACTGCACTGATTCTTTGAATAAGTAGGGAAATACGTAACAGAAAATGTAAACTTTGGGGACTTATGCAAACAATTTAATTTTGCGATTGCTATGAATTTTTTTTTAGATTATTTCAAGTTAGTCAAGGAAGCAAAGTCCTCTATCTGCATTTCAGTTAGTTTCTCCTTAATTTATTGTGCCACGCTACCTCTCCTTTTATGTATTCATTACCGATCAGCTGACGTGTGGTTTTCTTTAAGTAATAACCTCTTGCAATACATGACTAATCAAAATGCCTGATGGAAATCCAAGAATCCAAACTGTTCAGCCAACAAATATTATTAAGAGAATTTATGCTGAGAATTATAGCAACTGTTTTATATCTTAATATGTCATCAACAATTGATATAGTCAGTAAATGTATCTGTATTATAACCCTTCACACATTTATTGCAAAGCCAATTATAAAGGTTCATATGAGGAATGAAAGTCAAGGAGCTTAGGTAGCAAACAAAAGAGGTTCAAAATAATCATGCTGGGAAGAATTATGAGATGGCTGGTATTACAGAAATTGGTGTTAAATATCCTGTGACTGAAAAGTAAACCGGATGGTTACATTTTGTTCTGTAAGAAGAGAAAGGAGTGGAGGTTTGACACTTTTCATCAAAAGTACTATACGGATGATTCAGATCACAAGACTGAATGCTCATAGATCAAAGATATAGCTAGTAAAACCAAGAGGTGGTAATGTGGGCACAACAAACAATCTGTCTGCAAAACAGGATGAAGTGCCTCTTTGTGCATCTATCTGTAAAGTGTAGGAAGAATATCTATTTTATTGTGGGTTACTTCAACCTGTGGGACATTTACAGAACATCCTGTGTTGTTAGTAACAAAACTGCCTTAGAATTTCTAAAATAGAAATGATGGCTTGTTAACACAAGGACTTTTGGAACCTTAGTAATTTACTATCAGATTTAATTCTGACAAAGGGTTGATTATCTATCTGCATACTAACAGTTGCTGAGTAGTCACACTCTAATTCCATACCTTTCAAAAAATGAGGACATACAAGTTAGTAAGGTATGTACTTAGAATGTAAAGCAGTTTCTAGAACCTAAGACAATTGTTAAAACTACAGATATGGAACATTAGATGTTAAAGTGAGAAAGTTAATAAAAACTGGGAGATTTTCAACATCAATTGAACAAAAGACCTTAATTCCGCAAAAAAAAAGCTATGTGTCATAGAAGTGAGACAGCATCTGCTCAAATTAAACACATGCAAATCAATGCACAGAAAGAGCTTGCCCTTCCAAGTTCTATAGAATCTGGCTAACAACCAATGAACATCATTATTTTTACAGCCCTGGGGAAACTGTACAAATTCTAAAGAATTGAAGTGAGTGCCAGTGTAAGTTCAGGATCAAAAAAGAAAATAATAATCCTGCAGGGGAAAAAAAAAAAAAATCAGGATTTTATGAATAAAGAGTTGAAGAGTAAGAAAATAAATAAGGTCAGTTGGGATCATTTTATGAATGGTAACTCCAGTCAAATAAACCTATTAGTAATGTTATCATTAGTAATAAACAGAATTGTGATTCTGGTGGAAACAAGTTAAAGAGGTTAGATTTCGTGCTACAAGCTTTCAATGCTTTTTGTAAGTCAAGCTACTTAATAACAGCATTCCTACTTGCCACTGAATGCACAGGTAATTCAGTCTGCCACACTCTTCCCACCCCCACCAATAAATCCCTGTGGATAGAATGCGCTCTAGATATATATAATATATTCAACAAGCAATTATTACAAAATCTTGCTAGTCATAGTTCAGCTTCTTGTGTTATTTGTCTTAGAGAGTAAAAGTCATAGTATTTACTCTTCAAATGTTTTTGGGTTTTTCCCCCAAAATTCATACAGAGGGGGAAAAAAAAGAAAGCACTAAACCAACAGGGACATTTGAAGTTATGCATAATTTAAGTAGTGTGTTTTACATTCGCTCTTGTATAAAATCAGTAAGAATGAGATATCCGGAACAGCTATAAATAAATCCAATGTTCCCACCTACATTGAGGAAATTACACTACTATACAAGTGTCACTTGTACCAAGATGGCTTGATCCAGTCATAAATTTAGATCATTGAAATGTATAAGATCCACACAATATGTGGAGAAGTGAAGTGTTGGCGGAATGGATATTTGTCACATGTCTGCCCCCAGATCCTCCAATTCTGCTGTCTAGAACAGCAGTTTTCAATGTTTTCAGTCTGTGAAAGAGTAAAACTATTTGCAGCTGCACACCCAGTAAAAATACATTTATACATCTCGTAAGTGAACTGAGTTTCTCTCAGTTACATTTCCCTCCCCTGGACAATTTAGTGAATGTCACTGCTGGAGAAAGACTTTAAGGAAGACAGATTTTGCTGGCCAACAGGGCCATTCATAAAGGCACAACAGGGTACTAAGTCAGAGTTAACATTTCAACAGGAGAATCCCTTTGATAAAACAAATCATGCACTATACCAGACCAGAAGAAAGATGAATAAGTATTTAAGTATTACAATAATATTTAAATGAAGTAAGACATGTCAGTGTAGCCTCTTGTAAAGTTTGTTAGTCTCACACATGTCTGCATTCAGGGCTTTGTTTTCCAGGTGTCAGCCTTGCAAAGAAAAGCCTCATGAACACTAAAGCTCACAGCAATACCTTGTACAGCCAGCTGAGCTGCGCACGCATCCTTTCCAACACTGTTGCTGGCAGTACATGTGTAGACTCCAGCATCCCCTTTACCAACTTTCAGGACCCTCAAGCTGGCCGTGTTTTCCACCAGTGTCATCTTGTAGTTGCCACCTGGGCGGATCTCTCTGTTGTCTCTGGTCCAATTAATCCTCATGGGAGCAGAGCCAGTCACGTGGCACTTAAAGGTTGCACTTTCCCCTAGTGCCACATCAATAGATACTGGCTTGATGTCAAAGAAGGGAGGTTGTAGATGTTCTGCAAAGAGGAAAGCATGGCAGAGTTCACCACCAAGACCTCCTCACCACACACCTCACCATGCCATGCCCATGCTCCCTGGCCACCATACAATGGGCAGAGTGGGGAAAACGGTGAAGAAATAAAAGAGCAAAGACATATAAAAGACATTTGTTTAAGTGTGAGCTACAAACCTGTGAGGAGAAGTTTGGCACTGGAAGATGCAGTCCCCAGAGCATTTTGGGCTGAGCAAGTATATTGGCCACAGTCAGCCATACTAGTTTGCAAGATCTGGAGAGTTGCAACATTATTTAAGAAAGCTGATTGCACGTTATCACTGTCATTTAAAAGAACTCCATCCTTGTACCAAGACACCTGGATAGGCTCTGAGCCATTTATGCGGCAATCAAATGTCACTGGGGCACCAACTGCCTCCTGAATATCCTTCAGTTTCCTGGTGAATGTAGGAGGAAGTTTACGTTCTGCAAAACAATAATAATCACCACCATAAGTAGGAAGCCACCATGTCAATCTAGAATTAATGAACTCTGAAGTTAATAAGAACCCCTCTCGGTAGACAACAAGGAGTTCCTACAAACTACCCCAGGAAAGAGTCGCCCTTGGCCCAACACCTTTAACAACAAGGAGAGCTGTGGAGGTGGCGAAGCCAACACTATTTTCTGCTTTGCAGATATATTCTCCAATGTCACTATCCTCCACGGTGGAGAAAGCCAGCGTTGCCACATTATTCTTGAAGTGCATTTTGTAAGCCTGTGTTGATCTGAGCTTTGTGTCATCTTTGTACCAGGACACCTTGATTTCTGGCGCACCACCAATCTGGCATTTTAAGATCAAGGGCTCGCCAACCTTCACCTCCACACGGTCCAGGTGTGTGACAAAATAGGGTGGTTCTAGGGAAGGAGAGAACATGGTGAGCAGAGGCAGAGCATCACTGGGGTTCCTTAGGGGGATCAGGGGTGATGCATACCTAAGATGGATACAAGGCTGTGGCAAACATCCCCACCCGCCTCATTTGCCACCTCACAGGTGTATTCGCCTTCATCACTCTTGGTGCTGTTGAAGATTTCAAGAATGCCAGATTTGTCAGTAGTTGTAACACTGCAGCGTGGAGACTGAGCAATGGGCATGCCATTTCTTTTCCAGGTGACAGAGATCGGAGGGGTGCCTATGTAGCTGCTTTCCAACACAATGGACTTCCCCTGCTCCACACTGAAGTCACTTAATTTCTTCACAAAGACTGCAGGCTCTGTGGAGAGGCATAGATGAATAGTGAGAAGGACAGATGTGGCAGGGCTGCAGGCAGAGCATGAAGGGAGATACCTGTGTGTACACGCACACACACAAACACACCTTTCACAAAGAGTTGGGTTGTGCAAGAGGCACTGCCAGCATCATTTGTGACTACGCAGGCATAGTCCCCGCTGTGGCCTGGCTCCACGTTGTACAGCTGCAGCTGTGCCACAGACTCATCCAGAGAGATGGAGCAGTTGCTGTCCAGCACCAGCTCCCTGATGCCTCGGAACCAGGTCACTTTGAAGGGAGTACTGCCCTTGATGTAGCTGGTGAATGTCACACTTGATCCAGGCAAAACTTCCTGGGGATCAGGTATCTTCACAAAAGAAGGTGGTTCTAAGTATCATGCAAAGAGGGAGAAAGATGTTAATAGAAGAGTCTCTGCGGGGGAGGAAAACTGGAGCAGGTTTGAGTTTAAAAAAAAAAAGAGAAAGAGGGAGAAAACAGGAAAAAAACATGAAGAAGAAACCATGGGAAACCAGAGGGAAGGAAGAGAAGAGGGAAGAATAATTTTGTTGAAGGGGCTGTACAATCCTTCACTAACCTTGTACAGTCAAGAAGGCACTGCATTCATCAGATCCAGCCACATTGGCTGCCACACAGGTATATGGCCCTGTATCTGTAACATCTAGGGCATTCAGCTTCAAAGCACAAACATTATCCAAGAATGAGATTTCGTATTTTTCTCCACTAACAATCT